TTTGTGCATATCCTTGCGCTTAATTAAATAAGGAAGAATATGCATTGTTTTGTTAGCAAGCCCAGACTTCAGGCAAGTAAGAGGGTTGCAATATTCCTAAAGTTTGGTGCTTGATAGACCTGAAGACCCAGAGTTGGGCAATCCTTGGGTTTCTTTTGGCAAGTCACTACTTTGATCATTACAAACAACGAGTTTCCGAGTCTTGACTAGTAGATCCGGAAACATTTGACTGTAAGATTATTAATTCCGCTTGGCACCGTAGTTGAAACATCTGCAGCCCAGCAAGCATGTTCAGGTAAGCGCTTCCGATACTTCAAGGGTACTTCGTTGATGATATTTCCACTTATTATAGGATAAACCGAAAGTTCTTCTGGCAAGAATCCTTAAGATAAACCCGAACATAGTTGTTCTCTGGGATATAAGGTCCACACATCTACCCGTGTTCACTAAATGCATCCATCCACTCACTGACGAAGACCGAAAGTATCCCCCATTACTACTGCTCTGCCCTGCCAAACTAACTGCACCATTTATTTAACTGCACCATTTGTTACCTGAAAACTTTTGTATGGAGATACCCAACAGGGATCGAGTTTGCACGTGGTGTGTTCATTATCAGGCTGGTGGAGGGGGTGGCAGTGATGATGCAAACAGTACGGTGCATTTGCAGAGGGGCTTGTGGTTCAGGAGGGGTGATGGTGGTTGGGTGTTGCGGTGGAGATCGTGGAGAAATATTCGGTAATTGAATGGGGGAAGGTGTCATCCGTAGTGGGGAAAGAAGCTGATGAGAGGGGTGCATCAGAACAACGGGTTGGCTGTCCTACCAGATTAGTTCAAACCAAGTCCGTCGGAGCCACATGGGAGATTAGGGAAGGTGGAAGCCAGTCTAAACTAACTGTAATGAGTGATGATGATGATTGTGGTGAGGGAGGATACAACATGATGAAAGGTGTATATACGTCTTGTTTGAAGGTTAAAACGGCAGTAGCCGGAGTGCAGGTTAGACCTATATCCGATGAATATACGAGGAGTGAATCGAAAGTAAAGTTTGGTGATAGCATATGATCGTAACCACGGGAAACATAGGCAGTTGAAGGCTTTATGAGTGCGGTAGTTTGCTGGTTTTCGGATCAATTTCCTTGCCTGCAGCTGGACCACGCTCCAAATGATGTTCTTCTAAAGGCTTCAACTTTGTGTCATTGGAAGGTTTAATTATATTCTATATATAATATATATATATAATTTAATTATATTTAATATTATATATATATATAAATATATTATTATATTATATATATAGGGAAGAGTTCTAATTAAAAACCTTTTGCCAAAAACCTAAAACCTCCTTCATCATGATTTTCTAAGATGAATCCCCCCAATGGCTGAGTTCAGTTTTTCAAACAGTTCAAACAAGGACAAACATTGCATTAAAATTACCTTATTAATTACTCCATGCCAACTTGAATTCCAGAATACTTTACCTTCAAAAACGTATTCCTCGGAATTTCACTGCAGGTGAATTCAAGAATTCCACTACAGTAAATTCTGATTCATGTAGTTGATGTAATTAATGCATGTGGTTTAATGAGGAATAATGCCATGTGTTCTGGTTTGACTGTTTGACGGATTTCTAGCCAATGGATGAAAGGAGGTTAAGTTTTTAAGGCTAAATGATTATTAGAACCTCCCATAGTATATATTATATATATATATAATATATATTATATATTAATATATATATTATATATATAATAATATTATTTTAATAATATTTATATATAATATTATTATATATAATATAATTTAGAGAAGAGAGGAGAGGAGAAGAGAGAGAGAAAGAGAAGAGGAGAGAGATATGGGTATGGGCTTGCCAAGCCATAAAATTTTATGGCTTTTGGTAGTAATGTTGTCAACCATCCCAATTCCACTCCCCTACCCATGTTGAATGTGGTCCCAAAAATTTGAAATGAAGTGGAGGGGATGTGACCACTCAACTACCAAGCACAACTTTTTATGCTTTGGTACAAGCATACCATTATTATATTATATATAATATATATATTTATATATAATAATAATAATGTAATATATATAATATAATTTATATGGGTTATCCACTCTACCATTTTAAAATAGTTGGCATAATTCCCCATACACTTCTTCAACCTATGTGAATTGTGGTCTCCTATTTTTGAAATGAGTGATAGATTGGCCAACCTTCACACCAAGCATTAAGAATTTGTTTTTGTACTAAACATACTTATATTCTCATATATATATATATAGTATATATATATTAATATATTATATATATATATTATATAATAATATATTAATATATATATATAGAGAGAGAGAGAGAGAGAGAGAGAGAGAGAGAGAGAGAGAAATGGAGAAACTTGGTACCAAGTTACTCCAAACAACGGCTAAATACCCATATTGGTATTTTAATTCAACCCCATTTGCCAACAATGTATTTTATTTAGGAAAATCGGCGTTAAGGCATTTTAATTGAATAAAATTACCAATTAGGTCATTTTTCTCGTCGGCGTCCACTTTTCCGACGAGAACTCGTCACGTGCGTTGCACGCGGTGGCTTAATCTGTGTTTAAGATGCTGATGTGGCACTGTTTTCTGACGTGGCAGGGAATTAACCCTCTAAAAACCAATTCCCACCCAAAATAGGACATATTCGCCCTTTCGTTTTCAGAATTTGAGCGCGAGATAGAGGGAGAAATAGAGAGTGAGCCATCATCGTTGAGGCAGTTGAAGGCGATAGATTGCAGAGATTTCAACTGATGGTGTTCCTCGGTGCATGCATTAGGTGATTTACGGAGGACGACGACTTGGTACGGGTTGACAGGAATGCGAAGGTTTGATTCTCATTATACCTATGAAATCTTTTGGTGGCTTTGAAGAGGATAAGTTAATCACGTATTTAGTTTGAGTTAAATGTAAGATAAACCTAAAATTTGTTGCATTTTGTTAGATTTGATAGAATTAGGGTTTTCAAAGTTGTGGTTTTTTTTCCAAATAATGGGTTGAATTTTGATAGAATTATTACCTTTTTCGTAAATTATGCAGATGGCTACGCAAATTATGATTAAATATAGACATGGGGGGTCATTGGACTTCGGAAGTAATGTTGCATACATTGGTGGTTCATTTGATGTTGAGTTTTGTGATGCAGAAGATATTTCATTAGAACAATTGAAGATTAGTGTTAAAGAATATAGTTATAACAATGTCGGGATGTTGTATTATTCTATTCCTAGTGTAGGACTGGCTAGTAGAGGTTTAAAGGCTCTAAATTCAGATCAGGATCTTGCAGAAATGATTGAGCATGCATTGAGGCACAGAGTGATAGAAATCTATGCAAATCACGGTGTTGACATGCCAGTAGAAGTGCAATTACCTATTGAAGGTGCTACTTCAATTGCTACATCTCCTAAAAGAAATATTCCTATGGTTAGGAGAAAGAAGTTAACACCCAAAAAAAGAAATTATGTAAAAGAGGGCCAAGTGAGTGTTTCAAACCCTACTATTTCACCACTGTCAATTCCTTCCAAATCACCACTGCCCATTCCCTCCAATTCACCCCCTCACAAATCTGCACAAACATCTTCTAGTGATGATGATGATGACTCAGTGGAGGATGAAAATTTTAGGGTTGATCCCACAGAGCTATTGTATGAAGATGATGGTGAAGATAAGGAATTATTTGATGAGTTTAGTGCAAAGAATAGATCAAGAAAGGGAAAGCAATGAAGATAAGGAATTATTTGATGAGTTTAGTGCAAAGAATAGATCAAGAAAGGGAAAGCAAATAATGAAGTCTAATAAGAATGTAGATGAAAGTGTTGGAGGAGGAATTGATGTAAGAGTAGGGGTTTCAAATGAGGATGATGGTGGAGATATAGACTTGGCAGAATCTGAAGATATTGAGAGCATAAGAGCCCAGTAGGAAGTGATGATGATGAGTTGTTTGAAATAAGGCAAAAAATAAGAAAATTTTAGAGGAGGAGGAGGGTAGAATAGCATTTAATGCTGGGGCAAGATTGGTAGATGATGTAGATGGTCCCTCTCCTACAGTTAATGAAGCACAACCTGAACCACAACCACAACAAGCTAATGAAGTCAACACCAGTTCCACCCCTATTCATGATACAGATGCTGGTAATAACCAAGCACATATTGCAGAATTGCATATGTCACAGATTGTGGGATTGAATGTAGTAGGTCCAAACTGTAGAGGCACAATTCCTAAAACACAAAACTGGCCTAGTTTTTGGACAAATTATGAAGGAGGCTATCAGAGTGATCAAAGAAGCAATAATGATGAGGGACCATTGTTTGACAGTGATCATGAAGCACCTGAGATCAATATGAAAAAGAAAAAAAAAGAAAGAGTGAACTACAAGTATTTCAATGAGAGAGTGGATATGAAAGCTGTGCATTTTGAGCCAGGTATGCACTGCAATAATTACTTCATTGTGTTGTCTTAATTATACATCATTGTCAAAACTAATCATTTGTGTTTAATTTTTTTTTCAGGGTTAAAGTTTACTTCTAGGAGTGTGTTAAAGGAGGCTATTCTAAATTATTCTATTCAACAACACTATGATCTAGTGTACATGAAGAATGACACTAAGAGGATTCACATGGGTTGTTCACTTTGCTTTTGGCAGATGACTGCTGGTCCAGATTGTCATGAGGCTGGTGTTTGGCAAATAAAATTTATTAATCATGATCATACTTGCTGCAGGACTTTTAAAAATAGATTAATAACTGATAACTGGATTGCACATGTTTATCTTGATAAAATTCTGAGGGATCCAAAGATGAAGCCAAGTAACATTTTATTTGACATTTATGAGAATTTTCAAATTAATGTCTCATTGAAAAAATGTAGGAGGGGGAAGGAGAAAGCTCTAAATGAAGTCCAAGGATTAATGCAAAGACAATATGGCTTGCTAAAACCTTACATGAAAGAACTAATGAGGTCAAATGTAGGTACTACTTGTGTTCTGAAGGTAGCTGAGGGAGAGGCAGGACAACCAAGCATATTTCTTAGATTTTACGTTTGTTTTGAGGCATTGAAGATGAGTTTCACTTTGGGGTGTAGAAGAATATTTGGTCTTGATGGTTGTTTTTTGAAACATGCTTGTGGAGGGAAATTACTTTGTGCAGTGGGGAGGGATGGTAATAACCAAATGTGGCCCATAGCATGGGCAGTGGTTGAGGGGGAGACAAGGAACTCATGGCAATGGTTCCTAAGAATTTTGACTGTGGATCTAAACATGAATGATGGTAATGGTTGGACAGTTATGTCAGACCAACAAAAGGTTTGTGCAATACTATCTTTATTTCAAATTTTTCTTTCATGAACTCATTGTGATTAACTCAAATTTTTCTGTCATGAACTCAAATTTTCCTCCCACTATGCATTTCAGGGATTGGTTCCTGCTATACATGAAGTATGGCCAGCAGTTGAGCATAGGCAATGTGCTAGGCACATTTATTCTAATTGGAGGAAAATTCATAGTAGGAGGGTCCTGCAAAGTCAATTCTGGAAATGTGTTAAAAAGCCACCTCTATGCTAATTTTTCAAACTGAAGCTGCCAAGCTAAGGAGAATTTCAGAGCAAGCTTATGAAGACTTCATGGCTAGAGACCCCAACACATTCTGTAAGTCTCATTTCAAATGCCACAGTAAATGTGATGTTGTAGACAACAACATGGCCGAAACATTCAACTCTTTTATATTACTTGCAAGATATAAACCTATAGTGTCCATGTTAGAGGATATTAGATTATCTATAATGGATAGAATGCAAGAGAAAAAGAAACTCGTATGTAAATTTGTGGGGGGAGTTGCACCTAGAATTCATAAGAAGTTGGAGAAAGCATATCAGGAGCAAGTTCATTGCCGTGCCCATTGGAATGGTGATGAGAATGAAACTGGTTTTGAGATAATCCATAGAGGGCAAAGTCATGCAGTAGATTTGAAAAATATGACATGTACATGTAGGAATTGGGACTTGACAGGAATACCATGCACACATGCAGTCAGTGCTATCTTACTTATGAGAAGGAAACCTGAAATGTACTTATCAGAGATGTATTCTCAAGAAAACTATTTGATTGCCTATGGAGGAATGTTGAATATATTACAAGGGAGTAATTATTGGGATACAGAGGGAGAGGGAATGGTGTTACCCCCAAATATTGTTAGAAGGCCAAAGGGGAGACCCAAAACTGCTAGGAGGAGAGACCCATCTGAAGGTTCCAAGCATCCTTCTAGGTCATCAAGGCAGGGATTAATACAAAAGTGTATCAATTGTCACAGAACAGGGCATAGAAGACCCAGTTGTCCTGATGCAGCAACAAATCCTCCCAGGCCAACACATCAACAGGTATTGTAATGCCAATTATTTAGATATCTTTAATAATCTCATATGCAATCGTATTATCTAATTTCTCCATTGATTTACTTCTAGGAAAATCAATCTCAAGTTCTTGATGAAGGCACAAGTGGAAGGAAGAAAAGAGGAAGACCAAAGGGGAGCAAAACCAGACCTAACATTTCCATTGAAGAGCATAGTCAAACTAACACTCTTCCACCATCTCAAGTTTTCATAAATAAAAGATCAATGGCTAGAGGTAATGGACAATACATACTCTTGTGCACCAAGTTTTCATATAGATTCTTACTGATGCACTGAATTTGTTATGTATTCTCTAAGCTCAATCTCAAAATGCTAGAGGAAGGAGTGATATACGACGGGGCCGAGGCAAAGGAAGAAATAATGCAGTCATTATGCCAGAGGGTTTTGGCCTATGGCATGGTGATCATGGTGAAGTAGCTTATAGAGACCCAAGTGCCTCTCAAGCAACAATCATACAGGAATCAACTCCAATTTCAACCCAGGATGTACACCAAGAGGAGCATACACAGGCTTCATGTGCACATAATAGTGGGTTGTAATTATATGTAATTATAGTTTAGCTTTTGGTAATATATAGACTTGAGGTAGTTGAATGACTTTTTACTTGTTGCTGGTGATTGTAATCATGACAAACACATGACAATTGATGGTGACTAATGTAGTTTGGCTTTTGGTTAGTATGTTGATTGCGCAATGTGATTATGAGCTTCTGTACATGAACTTAAGCTTGGAGTTACTGGTTAGTATGTTGATTGTGCAATGTGATTATGAGCTTCTGTGCATGAAAACTATATTGTACAGGTAAACTATATTGTACAATGTATTTGATTGCCTACTTGTGATTGTGCAATGTATTTGATTGTGCAATGTATTTGATTGCCTACTTGTGAGTATGCTTTGTCACAGGAAAACTATATTGTACAGGTTCACTCACAAAGATAATACATGAATACAGGGTATACCATGACAAATTTTTCTCATAAACAGTGATAAATTTTTCATGTCCTGATGCTTCTTCTCATTAAATTCATAAGTTCATACAATATGCTCTTAAACATTACATATCCATGTCCATAAACCAAAAAAAATACACAATAAAAAAGACTACAAACAAAAGTGATATCAAACTTCCTCTCTTCAGCAACATCATCCTCCTCTTCTCCAATTGAAGCAAACCCTCTAATCTGAAACTCTCATCTCTCAATTTTGATATTTCTTCCAAAGAGCAAGCGTTCTCATCGTATAAAACCTGGAGCTGGTCTCTGAAATTGGCATTTTCAACATGGCAATCCTTCACTTCGGCCTCAACTCTTTGAATCTGCCTATCCCTGAGCTTCAAGTCACTCCTCAAGTTAAGTATTTCATCTCGTAGAATAGGAAATAGAGTAGAAGACACATTACAGAGAGGTCTATCGAACCATTCCCACATTCCACAGCCACCATTAGGATTCTGACATTTATAAAACATTCTCCCAGGATTTTCATCTGTAAATGATGTATAATACCCACAATCCATTCCACACTTACAAATTTTCATGCCAACCGTCCTTGCTTCCTCGTTCCACCTTCTAATACCTGCCAAAGAATTCAAACCATGATTAATACTTACATGCGATCCCAATTTTCCACTCACCCTGCTTGCTTTAGAACGAGAGCTTGAACTTGATGCCGACGACATAGTTTCTTCTCTTCCAATGGCCCGATGTGATAAACCCGAATTCCTAATTTTCCGACGAGAGCGCTCCCTCTTTTATTCTCCCTGCCACGTCAGAAAACAGTCCACATCAGCATCTTAAACACAGATTAAGCCACCGCGTGCAACGCACGTGATGAGTTCTCGTCGGAAAAGTGGCTGCCGACGAGAAAAAGGACCTAATTGATAATTTTATTCAATTAAAATGCCTTAACGCCGATTTTCCTAAATAAAATACCTTGTTGGCAAATGGGGTTGAATTAAAATACCAATATGGGTATTTAGCCTCCAAACAACTTGGTAGTGATGTGACCTAATCTTGTCCCTACATCTACATTAGAGTTGGTGAAAGGTAGTTGAGGCTCTATCTTCGAGGTGTGATGTAGGGGCAAGATTAGGCCACATCACTACCAAGTTGCTTTAAGCAACTTGGTACCAAAGTTCTCCATTTCTCTCTCTCTCTCTCTCTCTCTATATCTCTCTCTCTCTCTCTCTCTCTCTCTCTCTCTCTCTCTCTCGTTTTCTTTCATCTTTCTCTCTCTCTCTCTCTCTCTCTCTCTAGTTCATTCTATCTCTCATATTATAATATTATACTATATATTATAGTATATATATTATATATATATATATTATATATATATAATATATATATATATATATATATATATTATATATATATGAGAAAATAGGGTATGTTGTGGTACAAGCACAAAAGTTGTGCTTGGTAGTGAGGTGACATAATCCCTCCATTTATTCAAATGGTTGCATATCCCCATGCACTTCTCAACTCATGTGAATGTGGTTCCCCATTTGAATGAGTGGAGGGGATTATGCCACCCTTACTATCAGGCACAAAATTTGTGCTTGGTACCAGCATACCCATATTTCTCTCTCTCTCTCTCTTTCTCTATATATAATATATATATTAGTATATATATTAATATATATATAATATATATATATATATATATATATATATATATATAAGAGGGTTGCAATATTCCTAAAGTTTGGACATTCTCCACTAGCAGGAATATACAAAGCGACATGTCTGTGACCTCGAAGCGATCATGTGAGACATCGTATGTCGTGGGTAAAATTAGACAATATTTATTGGATAATGTTCAACCCTCCATGTTTTTTCAATATATTCTGCGCGAGATAGGGGGTGCACAATCGACTTGGTGTGTTGTGCGGTGCCTAAGTGATTGTCTGTCGTCGAAGGAGATTCTTCCCGAGTCGATATACTTAGCTATCTTTAAGTTGGCATTTGCCGAGCATGGAGTTCATGGTGGTTGAGAGGTATATACGACGTGACATACATGTATTTATTATGATTTTTTGGAATATATACTCTTATGTTGAGTGGTAATCTTTTCAGGTTAGAGGAGGTACTCCCGTAGGGAGCAGCAGTACGATACGACGTTCTAATGCAGACGACGTTGATAACAAGGATGTCGACAACGATGACGATGAGTGAGTGAGACGTGTTCTTATATTTATGTAGTTTTAGATTGTGTTAAGACATGTTGTGACTTTTGAATTTTACCTATATGTAATATATTTATGATTTTATTTCGTAGTGAATGAATATTGTTTGAGCATGCGAGATGTGTTGTGATTGTGATTATATGATGAGTATTGTTTGATATTGTGGATTGATGGATGACGATGGATGAGTATTCATTTGGATTGTGAATGTATATAATGGTTGATTTTATGATATATTATTAAATATTGTCATTGGATTGAGTCGATACAGGCTATATGTGTATTCTCGTATGGGAGGTTACCAGAAAATTAAATTTTTTATACGTAAATATGTACATTGGCGATGGATTACCCCATCGCCAATGAGTATTGGCGACGTAGCAATCCGTCCCCAATGAGTATTGGCGACGGGGCAATCTGTCGCCAATGTTTAAACATTGGCAATGACATCCCATCACCAATACTCATTGGCGACGGGGCAATCCGTCACCAATGTTTAAACATTGGCAATGACATCCCATCACCAATACTCATTGGCGACGGGGCAATCCGTCACCAATGTTTAAACATTGGCAATGGGGCAATCCGTCGTCAATGTTTTAAACATTGGCGACGGATTGCCCCGTCGCCATTGAGTATTGGCGACGGAAAGACCCCCTGTCGCCAAAGAATTCCGTCAAAGACCCCTGTCGCCAAAGAATTATGTCGCCAATAAACGTCCGTCGCAAATACCGTATTAACGACAGATTTATTGGCGACGGATCCATTTCCGTCACCAATGTGTATTGGTGGCGGATTTTGGGGCATTGGTGACGGATTTCCCCGTCGCCAATGCCCAGTTTTTTACAAGTGATTGTTTCGCATCAGAGACATTGCTTAGCTAGGTGTTGATGTTTACATAACTAGTTTGCAATTTTGAAGTTACTGCATTCTTCGACCATAGCATTGGTACAACTTGAACAGTTTTAAGAAATGCACACAAAAACTTTCAATGTTATGATTCTCTTGGTAATTAGGTTGCTTACTTTCAACTGATGTGATGTTTGATTTTTTTTTTCTTTTGCAGGAGCTATGAGCTGATGGAGAAAATATTGAAAGTCTATGTGTACAAGGAGGGACATCGGCCCAGTTTCCATCGGTCACTTCTCAAGGGGATTTATGCCTCCGAAGGATGGTTCATGAAGCTCATGGAGACAAACAGGCAATACATTGTGAAGGACCCAAGAAAAGCTCATCTCTTCTATATGCCATTTAGCACTCGTCTCTTACAGTATGTACACAATTCTCACAATCGAAGAAACTTAGAACAATACTTGATTGACTACGTCAATAAAGTTGCTTCCAAATACCCCTTCTGGAATAGACAGGTGGATCAGACCATTTTCTTGCTGCTTGCCATGACTGGGTATGCTTCAGCCTTCTTCAAAACTTTGTTTCATTAGCTTATCTCATTTGCATTAGAGTTGAAAAGCTAATGTTTATATATGAGAACCAAATATTCAATGGGATTATATCAGATATTCATCATGAATAGCATTATGTTGGGCGCAAAGACACGCCCTCACGCCGCGAAAGCGATATCACCTGAGAGATAGCCCCGACTTTTGTTATCACAAAAGCACAAGTCAACCTCTATATTCTTGTTTCTCAAAGGAAACTAGAATAGATAGTGAAATTCTTATTTCTCAAAGGAAACAAGAATCGAAAGTGATATATTTCATCAAAGTGAAATACACACTCTTCCTCTCATCAGTTCTAGGACTGAAATGTCGAGAGAACCTACAAGCTATGGCAACTCACAGATAAGACAAATACAAACACAAGATTTACGTGGTTCGGCTAACTAGCCTACGTCCACGGGAGGGGGTTTCACTATGAAGGAAAAATACCAAACTTATACAAGTTCTCTCTTCCTCTCTTTCTTTTCTCTCAAAACTCTAATTTTGATTTTTCCCCACACACCTAAAACTCCTCCACCTCTTCTCTATTTATAGGAAACCAAGGGGGCAGATCCGAAATGAATTAGGCGGGCGGAACGCGCGGGAAAGAAATCGCGTGGCAGGAAAAAAATAACGGCGGGAGAAATTCCCGCGCTCGGGCTGGCGAGGCGAGGGTTGGTAGGCAGCGCACGAAAGCTCGTGCTGTCCTTGCGTGCACGGCGCGTGTGAAGGACAAGGGCACGTGAGTGGCCCCCCTGTCCCCCACGATCACAATTCTCCACCTTGTTCATCATTTGATAAATCCTAAATTTTAAACGAACACCAGAAGAACCCCACGAACTTCACCAGAGATATCCAGGCCAAGAACCAGGCCAACCCAACTGCGTCACTGTACCGCGACTGCCTACGTACCCTCCACCGGGATCAAGCTAACCGTAGTTCTAAAATTATTTTCCAACATAGTCTCCACCTCACCTCCATCACCGCCCCGCAGGGCTATGCCCTCTTGGGCAAATCAACACGGGCTGATATGAAGCAAGTCCAAGCAATGCTGGAACTTGCTACCTGTGACCACCTTGGTTAAAATATCCGCGGGATTCTCATTTGTATGCACCTTCATGAGAGAAATATCGCCTTCCTCTATGACATCCCGCATAAAATGATACCTGACATCGATATGCTTAGTACGATCATGGTGAACTTGATTTTTCGCCAAGTGAATCGCACTCTGACTGTCGCACCACAAGTTCACGCTCTCCTGCTCAATCCCCAAATCTTCTAGAAGACCCCACAGCCACAATGCTTCCTTCACTCCCTCCGCCATAGCCATGTACTCGGCCTCTGTTGTAGAAAGTACCACTATAGCCTGCAACATCGATCACCAACTAACTGGAGCTCCATGTATCCTGAATACATAACCAGTAGTAGATCGTCGTTTATCTAGATCGCCCGCATAATCAAAGTCTACATACCCATCGATCTGACATGTATCTCCACCAAAACACATACCCATATCCGCGGTACATTTCAAGTACCTCAGGACCCCTTTCACCGCTTCCCAGTGCGTCTTTCCCGGATTCGCCATGAATCTGCTGACCACACTAACCGCCTGTGAAATATCAGGGCGTGTACACACCATTGCGTATATTAAGCTGCCAACTGCACTAGCATAAGGAACATGCTCCATGTGTCCCTTATCTTCCGCTGTAGTAGGAGATTGTTTACCAGAGAGCCTAAAATGTGGAGCCAATGGAGTTACCACCGGCTTAGCACTTTGCATCCCGAACCTCGCGATCACCCATTCTATGTAGCCCTTCTGACTCAAGAACAATCGCCGATTCACCCGCTCTCTTCTAATCTCCATATCCAGTATTTTCCTAGTAGTGCCCATGTCCTTCATCTCGAACTCATTGCTAAGTTGAGATTTCAGCTTATCTATCTCCACCTTATTCTTCGATGCAATAAGCATGCCATCCACATATAATAGGAGATAGATATAATCACCTCCACGAAGCTTCCGAATATAAACACAACAATCATAGTCGCTTCGGGAAAACCCATGCTTCAGTATGAAGGAGTCAAATCGCTTGTACCACTACCGAGGAGATTACTTCAATCCATACAGTGACTTCCTCAAGTGTCATACATGATTCTCCTTGTCCTCAACCTTGTAACCCTCAGGTTGATGCATATAGATCTCTTCATCCAAGTTTCCGTGCAAGAAGGCCGTCTTGACATCAAGTTGTTCCAGCTCAAGATCACCATGAGCAATGATACTCAATAGCACCCGAATAGAGGTGCGTTTCACTACCGAAGAAAATATCTCATTGTAATCCACACCCTCTCTTTGTCCAAACCCCTTAGCCACTAGCATCACCTTGTACCTCGTACCACCGAGCTCTGAAGGATCTTCCTTTCTTTTATACAGCCACTTACAACCTATAACTTTCTTTCCTACGGGCAATGGGACCACCTCCCATGTTTGATTCTTCCGGAGAGATTCCATCTCCTCCTCCATCGCAGCCAACCAACTCTCGCTATCTCTATCCCGAATAGCTTCCTTAAAGGAGACCGGCTCATCTTCCTCCACCGAGAGTGCGTACTCAACCAAATTAACCTGGCCATAGTGCTTCAGGGGTTGATCAGCCCCCAGCTTTTGTACCTGCTTGTATGCTCGCTTTGGCCTAGTGGAAGCCAAGCTATCCTCGAGCTGATGTTGTTGAAGTGCTGAACCTCCTCCTGCTCAAGCTCACCATCTACCTGATTTCTCACTTGAACACGGCTAGAACCTGGTTGGTCTTTAGGTTCTATATTAATAACATGAGACTTAAAATTCCCAACAGTCTCAACATCACCATCTTTGGGCACCCTAGCAATCATGGACTTCTCATCAAAGGTAATGTCTCTGCTGATCACGAACTTCGAATCTTCTGTACACCAAAGACGATAGCCTTTTACGCCCTTTGCATACCCCAAGAAAATTACCTTCTTGGCCCTCGCGTCAAGCTTTCCGTCGTTGACATGATAGTAGGCGGTACACCCGAAAATCCAGAGTCTCTCATAATCTGCATGCTCCCCTGACCACACCCGATAGGGTGTATCACCGTCCAATGTCGAATGTGGAGATCGATTCACAATATAGCAAGCTGTAGCAATCGACTCTTCCCACCATTCTTTGCCCAAACCAGCATATGATCGCATACTCACTGCTTTCTCCCGCAGTGTTCGGTTCAACCAGCATATGATCGCATACTCACTGCTTTCTCCCGCAGTGTTCGGTTCAGTCTTTTCGTGACCCCATTCTGCTGTGGTGTAGATCTAACTGTCCAGTGTCTAGCAATACCCTCCTGATCACAGAACTCCTTGAAGGCACCATCTGTGTACTCTGTACTGTTATCAGATCTCAATGTCTTCAATTTCTTCCCTGTCCTGTTATCAACCATCGCCTTCCACTTCTTGAATGTCTCAAATACCTCATTCTTATGCTTCAGAAAATAAATCCAAGCATACCTAGAATGATCATATATGAATGAGACAAAATATCTGGAACCACCATTGGAAGTTGTCGAAGCCGGACCCCAAACATCCGTGTACACATAATCTAGTATCACTCTACTCGTGTGCTTTCTCCTCAGAAACTGGACCCTGTGCACCTTTTCATACACACAATCCTCGTAAAAATCTATGCAAGGTTTCTTCAGATTCTTTAACAAACCCTCTTTACCAAGCAGATCCAGACCCTTCTCTGACATGTGCCCAAGCCGCCTATGTTATAACCGTGTGTGCTCACATGGGTCTCCACCATTTTCTTTAGCTCCAACTGCTGCATCTCCCGCCACCATCGTACCCGAGAGAGTATATAGATTTTCGTGATGAACACCCTTCATCACTGTTAGGGAACCTCGAACAACTCTCTTCATTCCGTTCTCTGTTACAATCTTGCAACCCCCGGAGTCCAAAGCACCAACTGAAATAAGATTCTTCTGCAAGTCGGGAACGTGCCTTACATCCGTCAAGGTTCGAACCACTCCATCATGCATCTTGATCTTGATATCGCCTAGCCCCACCGTTTTACAAGCATGGTTGCTCCACATAATACTGTTCCACCATCAATGCTCCTGTAGGTAGTAAACCACTTCCTATTTGGACACATATGGTAAGAGCAACTAGAATCAAGAATCCACTTCCCGGAGGTATCCTCGCTACCTGTGACGACATAGCATTCCTTATCGCTCCCTTCCCCTGAAGTGTAGCTCGCCTCTTCCTTGCCTTCTCGTCTTTTAGTCTTGTTGTTGTTCTTCTTCCCACATACTCTCTTGTTAGGACAATCGACCTTGAAATGCCCAACTTCACCGCATTTAAAACACGCTCGTCCCGCAAGAGGTCTCGATTTAGATCTAGACTTTTCTCCCTTGCCTTTTCCTCGCTCATTGCCTCTTCCTCTGGCAAACAGTCCATGCGCTTGTTCTTTGTTACCACCAGTGGCCATATCACTAGTGTAATTTTTCAAAGATCATCCGCTAGAAGTGCCGTTCTAGTCTCATCCATCGATAAAATATCACCCACAAGCATCAGTGTTTGCACCAGGTTCTCATAAGACTTCGGCAGAGATAGAAGTAGTAGAAGCGCCTGATCCTCGTCTTCCACTATCACCTAAATGTCTTTCAAATCTGATATGATCCTATCGAACTTGTTGATGTACTCCCGGATTGATGAGCCCTCCTCCATCTTGCAAGTATACAATTTGGATTTTAAATAGATCCGGTTCGTTAGACTTTTCGTCATGAAGGTACTTTCTAACTTCAACCACACGCCCGCAACCGTTTCCTCCCCGTCCACCAAGAAAGCTACATCCCTTTCAAGGCAAAGGATAATCGACGCCCGTGCTTCCAGATCCAGCTCCTCTCAATCCTCATCAGACATATTTTTGTTCTTCTCTTTTCCAGCCAAAGCCTTGTGCAATTTTTGTGAAATCAGCGAATTTTTCATCTGCATCCTCCAATACGAAAAATCATTTTTCCCATTGAATTTTTCAATCTTGTATTTTCCAACTTACTTGTTTTACTTGTAGAAGCCATTTTCCGCTTGTCCGCTTCTCTTAGGAATTTCAACAACTACTTTGTGTTTTACCACACAATAATCAACCACCAACTCAGATCAGTAGCTCAACCATCACCAATATGAATAAGGGCTCTGATACCAATTGTTGTGGGCGGAGTCATGCCCACACGTCGCGGAAGCGATATCACCTGAGAGATAGCCTGGCTTTTGTTGGCACAAAAGCACAAGTCAAGCTCTATATTCTTGTTTCTCAAAGGAAACTAGAATAGATAGTGAAATTCTTATTTTGTAAAGGAAACAAGAATCGAAAGTGATATATTTCATCAAAGTGAAATATACACTCTTCCTCTCATCAGTTCTAGGACTGAAATGTCGAGGGAACCTACAAGCTATGGCAACTCACAGATAAGACAAATACAAACATAAGATTTACGTGGTTCGGCTAACTAGCCTATGTCTACGGGAGGGGGTTTCACTATGAAGGAAAAATACCAAACTTATACAAGTTCTCTCTTCCTCTCTTTCTTTTCTCTCAAAACTCCACTTGAGATTTTTCCCCACACTAAAACCACATCCATCCCTTCACTATTTATAGGAGATCAGAGGGGGGGATCCGTAGAACTTTGGCGGGCGAAGAAGCGCGGGAAAAAGAACGCGCGCGCAAATGAATCAAAAGAATTTATGGGCTGTTCATTTAGCATCACACTCTATGCAAAATGAATCAAAAGAAAAAGAATGTATCAGCTAGAGATATAATTAACAAATGTCGAGTACCACCTGTATGGCAGCCTTCTGCCTCATTTACATAAAAGTTGTATACTATTTATATGTAGCATTAATTAGTATTTTTTATATAGGCACCATATGAAACAAGGCACGCCATGGAACATTCGATCCGAGCTCTGTGTATCCAACCTCCATCAAAGCTTTCAATTGGGAAAAGACGTTTCTCTTCCAACAACTAATTATGTTCGATCTGCCAAGAATGAAGAATCCCCTCGGGGATCTCGGTGGAATGCCTGCAACCAATCGCTCTATTCTCGCCTTCTATGCCGGTAACCTTCATGGTGAGCTTCGCTCGATCCCATTGCAGCATTGGGAGAACAAAAACCCTGATATGAAAATCTACGGCCCATTTCCTCGAGGACTCAAAAGAAAGATGATATATATTCAACACATGAAGAGCAGCAAGTACTGCATTTGCCCGAGAGGTTATGAAGTTAATAGCCCATCAGTCGTTGAGTCCATTTTCTATGAATGTGTCCCAGTGATTATTTCGGACAATTATGTTCCTCCCATCTTTGAGGTGATAAATTGGGAGGCATTTTCTGTTGAAGTCAGCAGAACGTTTTCTCCCACCTACCAATCCCATCAACCACCAAAATAACAGTGGCCAACAACCCCATCTACCCCCAATGTAACACTATAAATACCCCCTAAGTTGTGTGTTAAAAATTATCCCAAGCAAGTGAAACAATAAAAAGAAGAGTGAGAGCTTGAGGATCCAGAGAGAGATAAATAAAGAGTAGTGTAGTGAGATTCCAGTAGCAGAGAAAGAGAGAGAAGAAAGAGAGTATTTGTTTTGAGAGTTTAGTGTGTTTGTACTACTAAAGAAATAATAGCAATATATTTCTTAGTGTCCATCGCTCATCTCAACTCAACAAGTGGTATCAGAGCCAACTTAGGGTGCTTGTATATATCTACTTATCGTATGCTCTGTGGCTGCCACCAAAGGTGGATCCTCCACATCAGAAAATAAGTTAGATTATCATTTACCCTTTGAAGGTGACGGGTACTATTCACGAGTACGGCACTGTTCAAAAATACGATACTATTCACAAGCACGGTACTATTCACAAATACGGTCACTGTTCATAAGTATATTTACTGTTCACGTGAAATAGTAAAAGTTGTAGCTCGTGATAGAAGCAAGGTGGTCAGGGACCTACTCTCTCCTACGGTGATCTTATCGGCATTATTGAAGGCCGAAGTTCGTGCTCAGTCAGGGACTGTGAAGCTGGTTGGTCAAGGACCAGACTTGCGTGGAGATACTGAAGTAGTACCACGTCACGATGGCGGATCTGGCAAATACGACTAATACACTCAAGAAACTCAATGGCAATAACTACAGCTACTGGGAGACGTGTATGAAGTCCTATTTACAAGGACAAGACCTCTGGGAGGTCATCGGGGGTGCTAAAACTACAACACCTCGGGAGGCTGGCGAAGTACTAAGGAAGTGGAATATCAAAGCTGGCAAGGCTATGTATGTGCTGAAGACGACAGTAGAAGAAGATCTCGTAGATTACATGCGAGATGACAAAACTCCGAAGGAGGCATGGGATACGCTTGCCACACTCTTTTCAAAGAAGAATGATGCTCGACTTCAACTCTTGGAGAATCAATTGATAACCTTGCAACAGAAGGATCTGACAATAAGTCAGTACTTCAAGCAAGTAAAATCACTTTGTTCAGATATTGCTCAACTAGATCCAGATTCGAAGGTATCTGATGCAAGGATGAGGAGAATAATCATCCACGGTTTGAGACCGGAGTATCACGGTCTTATTGCTGCTACACACGGGTGGCCGACTCAACCAACATTATTAGAGTTGGAGAGTTTGCTCGCTACACAGGAAACCCTAGCCAAACAAATGGCCGGCGTTTCAATAAAAAGTGAAGATGAAGCACTTTTCAGCAGCAAGGAAAGAGGCAAACCAAAAGGCGCAAGAAAAGAGGAGTATGGAAAGGCTGGTGCAAGGAGGCAGCCAGCACGACCATACACCAACGAAGACGAGGTTGTTGGTATGGCGCTAACCTCGATTGTAGAAGAATCCGAGTCCGCATTTGCAGCAGTTTCAGATCGAGAAGAAATCAGCTATAATAAAGATTGGATTGTTGATTCTGGCTGTTCCAATCACATGACGGGAGATAAGGAGAAACTTGTCAAGATGAAGGAGTATAAGGGTTGATTCTGGCTGTTCCAATCACATGACGGGAGATAAGGAGAAACTTGTCAAGATGAAGGAGTATAAGGGCGGCCGAGAAGTTGTGATAGCAAATAACGGGAGATAAGGAGAAACTTGTCAAGATGAAGGAGTATAAGGGCGGCCGAGAAGTTGTGATAGCAAATATTTCAAGATTACCTATCACACACATCGGAAAGACTGCATTTACGCCGCGCTACAACCCGAATCAGATATAACTACAAGATGTATACCATGTACTGGGTATGAAAAAGAATCTTCTATCTGTTTCCCAGTTAATAGCTTCTGGAAATTATGTGGTATTCGGGCCACAAGATGTAAAAGTCTATCGAAACTTGAAGCCACCAGGAGAACCTATCATGGAGGGACGGAAGGTAGAATTTGTCTATGTGATATTGGCAGAATCGGCATACATCGATAAAGCCAAAAAGAATGAGACGGTTGATTTGTGGCATGCTCGACTTGGCCATGTGAGCTATCACAAGCTCAAAATCATGATGGAGAAGTCAATGTTGAAGGGTCTTCCACACTTGGATATACGTGGAGGGACCGTATGCGGAGGTTGTCAGTACGGTAAGGCGCATCAATTACCGTATCACGAGTCACAGTTCAGAGCCAAGGAACCTTTGGAGCTTGTACACTCAGATGTATTTGGTCGAGTAAAACAAGAATCAATCGGTGGGATGCGGTATATGATCACTTTCATCGACGATTACTCGAGATATGTCTGGGTTGATTTTATGAAGGAAAAATCTGAAGCACTCTTCAAATTCAAACAATTTCGAGAAGAAGTCGAAGTAGAACTCAGCAAGAAGATTCGTTGCCTACGCACAGACAACGGGGGCGAGTACACATCAAAGGAGTTTTACGACTACCTGAAGCAGCACAAGATTCGACGACAGCTAACGTGCCCAAATACTCCGCAGCAGAATGGCGTAGCCGAAAGAAAGAATCGTCACCTCGCCGAAATTTGCAAAAGCATGCTTCATGCCAAGAATGTATCAGGACGTTTTTGGGCGAAGTGTATGAAGACTGCGACACACGTGATCAATAGGCTACCACAACCGAAGCTGGGGTTCATGTCACCTTTTCAGAAGTTGTGGAATACCAACCCAACTGTAAGCCATTTCAGAGTCTTCGGTTGTGTATGTTATGTCTTTGTGCCTGATCACTTACGCAACAAGTTCGATAAAAAGGCTGTAAGATGTATATTTGTGGGGTATGATAGTAAAAGAAAAGGATGGAGATGTTGTGATCCCACAACCGGACGGTGCTACACATCAAGAAATGTTGTGTTTGACGAAGCCTCGTCTTGGTGGACTCCACAAGAAGTTGTGCTCCCAGACTCTAATGATTTAGAGGATCAGTTGCAGAAGAAGCTGGGGGAGCCAGGTTAAGAAGAAGGAATACATCATTCAGAGAAGACAGAATCAAGCTCTCCATGGAAAACCGGTGTTCATCAGATAATATCAGAAGAGGAGCGTCCAAGCCAGATGGAGAATATCGAAGAAGAACCAACTGAACAACTTCGAAGATCAACAAGACTCAGAAAACTGAATCCTAAGTATGCTAATGCTGCCATTATAGAGGATGTGAAGGAGCCATCTAGCTTCGAGGAAGCATACGAATTTGCTGAATGGAGACAAGCAATGGAGGAAGAAATTCAAGCTCTTCATCAGAATCAAACTTGGGAGTTGGTGCCAAAGCCCAAAGATGTCAAACCTATCTCATGCAAATGGGTTTACAAAGTCAAGACTCGACCGGATGAGACGATTGAAAGATACAAAGCAAGATTGGTTGCTCGAGGATTCTCTCAATAGTATGGACTGGATTATGATGAGACATTCAGTCCAGTTGCCAAGATAACAACAGTTCGAGTTCTGCTAGCTCTAGCAGCCAGCAAAAGTTGGAAGCTTTGGCAGATGGACGTGAAGAACGCATTTTTACATGGTGAGGTGGATCGAGAGATTTACATGGAGCAACCTATCGGTTTTGAGAGCAATGAAAAAGAAAGATATGTTTGCAAACTAAAGAAAGCTCTCTACGGATTGAAGCAAGCTCCGAGAGCTTGGTATGGCAAGTTTGGTGAGTTTTTAATTCAAAGTGGATACTCTCTTGCCCATGCAGATTCTAGTTTATTTGTCAAACAGACTGGTAGTAGACTAGTAATCGTGTTGGTCTATGTGGATGACTTAATCATAACTGGAGATGATGATGCGAAAATCCAAAGAACGAGGACAAATCTCTCGGTTAGGTTTCAAATGAAGGAGCTTGGAGAGCTCAAGCATTTCCTCGGATTGGAGGTCGACCGAAGGAAAGATGGATTATTCTTGTGCCAAGAAAAATACGCGAAGGACATGCTGCTCAAATACGGGATGTTCAATTGCAAATCAATCTCAACACCAATGGAGACAAATCTGAGGCTGTGTGCACATGAAGGAAAAGATTTGGAAGATCCAACTATGTATCGACAACTAGTTGGAAGCTTAATCTATCTAACTATGACAAGACCAGATATTTCATTTGCAGTTGGTGTGATGAGCCGATACATGCAGAAGCCAAAGAAGACTCACTTAGAAGCAATCCGAAGGATCCTAAGGTACATCAAAGGTACAATTAACTATGGTCTCATGTATAAGAAAGGAGAAGAATGTGCGGTCTATGGCTATTGTGATGCTGACTATGCTGGAGATCATGACACTCGAAGGTCTACTACTGGATACATGTTTAGTCTCGGCTCAGCGGCTATATCTTGGTGCAGCAAAAGACAACCAACGGTGTCACTGTCAACTACAGAGGCGGAGTACAGATCAGCAGCAATGGCAGCTCAGGAAAGCACGTGGCTTTTTCAGTTAATGAGAGATCTACATCAGTCCACAGACTATTCAGTAGCTTTACATTGTGATAATCAGTTTGCAATACGATTGGCAGATAATCCAGTTTTTCATGCTAGGACAAAGCATATCGAAGTACATCATCACTTTCTTCGAGAGAAAGTTCTTCAGGAGGAGATTGTTATGAAGCCAATCGGGACAAATGAACAAACAGCTGACATATTCACCAAAGCACTAAGTACTTCAAAGTTTTCAGAATTTCGAAGTCAGCTTGGACTCATGGATAGAAAAGTCGCTGCTGAGGGGGAGTGTTGAAGTCAGCAGAACGTTTTCTCCCACCTACCAATCCCATCAGCCACCAAAATAACAGTGGCCAACAACCCCATCTACCCCCAATGTAACACTATAAATACCCCCTAAGTTGTGTGTTAAAAATTATCCCAAGCAAGTGAAACAATAAAAAGAAGAGTGAGAGCTTGAGGATCCAGAGAGAGATAAATAAAGAGTAGTGTAGTGAGATTTCAGTAGCAGAGAAAGAGAGAGAAGAAAGAGAGTATTTGTTTTGAGAGTTTAGTGTGTTTGTACTACTAAAGAAATAATAGCAATATATTTCTTAGTGTCCATCGCTCATCTCAACTCAACATTTTCTGTTATAATTCCAGAGAAAGATGTGCCCCAATTGAGAGACATACTTGCATCGATCCCTGAGGAGAAGTATCTTTCTTTGCAGGAGGGAGTGACGATGGTGCAGAAGCACTTCCTATGGCATAGTAAGCCAGTCAAGTATGATTTTTTTCATATGACCCTGCACTCAAATCTGGTACAATAGAGTATATAACATAAGGACTGGGTGAAGGTATGGATTAATGAAAAATTCAGCTTGGCTTCCTTTGGATGCTTTGTATTCTGCACTGCTTCGAGTACAAGTGAAAGGTGTATCTTCAATCGACTGAGACTGTAATCTGCTTAATTTCGATGGAAGCCTGCAGTTTTAGAATGCGACGGATTGCCAACAATGAAGGAACGTGCATGTTGAAGGAATTGCTTCCTGGTAAAGTAATCCTGTATTATTGTTGCATCCAGAATTTAAATCCTATGCATGCTAGGCACGCTTAACTATCGGATGGTTTCTTTTGTACATTGTCATCGTGGAAGCTTCATAGTTGGAGGCCCTTGTACATTCATTGTTTAATAAAGTGAAAAGTGAGCTAAGATGTGTACATTAATTGTGACATAAATAAGATCAATTTGTCCCTTCAGCAACTATTTCCTTTTGCTGATGAATCAAGCATTACATAGTACCCTTTGTTCTGATGGATACATATAATTCTTTGTTGTTCTCTAGAAGTTCATTGATGGAGCCCCAAAAGTTTTCAAACTAAAGTTTATTATATCATTGCTTACAGTTTCTAACTGGTCTAAAGTACTTACAAAATTATGCAGCAAATCTATCAAAAGATCACAGAAACCTTCAGCCATAATTCTCCATCTTGTTTATTCACAGTGTAGACAGTAGAAAGACATGGAACCGTATAATTTTTATTTTTCCTATGTTCTTGATCTCTTCTACACGGAAGTCCCTACAGTTGGTCGGACCGCCACCCAAAGCAAAGAAACCGTGATGGAAATAAGTCCAACCCAAACCCAAAGAATCGTCGGCGCCCTCCCTCTCCTCCCCATCAACCCTTTCATAAATGGATACATATGTGTTAACACCCAGAAACTAAAGAAACTACTCCCTAGCATCTTACTCCACTGCGGTATCTCACTGTATATCGTCCGTGCAGCCCCGATAACTAGCGCCACGAAATTGACAGAAATGATCGTCAATGGCATAATGAACAAGCTTGTCCATTTGACCACATACAGGTCGGCATATATGTCTTCTTCATCTTCGTTTGCCGATTTGGCTGTAAGAGTGAATGAGATCTCAATCCCTGCAATAACTTTCAGTAGGCCCTGAAGGACCGCCGCAAGGTGAGCTGATGTTCCTCCTATGACCCAAAACTGCTCGTTTCTCCATAGCTCTTCGAGTGCAATCCCTGACCATTTCACTTCTAAGAGGGAGATAAGTGCGAGAGTGATGGTGATAGTGAGTAGGAATACAAGGAACGTTACGTTGAGACCAGGAACAATGAATTGATCGGAGAAGAGGCATAGAGCGGGTAGAAAGCAGTAGACGGTGAGTAGGATTGACGTGAAAGGATAAATGCCAACATTGAGGTAAGCGATGCGTTGGAGGAATTTGAGGAGCCGCGGAAGGCGTCGCGTTTTGTTACACAGTAGACGGAGCGCCATCCACGGTTGTGCATCCGGTATCCTGTTACGACGTCCTCTGTCACTGAGCCATAGATCCAGCCTACTCGGTCACCCCATTCAGTTTTGTCTTCATACCTGCGATCAACATGTAACTTTTCTCTTAACTTTTTTAAGAAAAAAAATTTCCTCTGAAGATTGTTTGTGATTTATGTTGATTTTGTTGGTTCCCACTAACTATAACATAGTTTTATATATTAGTATCGTGGTGCACACAACATACCATATGAGGGAATGGTTTAATTGAATTGTAAAGTGAATGAATAACTTGTTAAGTTTCAACGGTTTTTTCCAGGGATAGAGTGTTTCCATTGATTTTTCCAAAATTGAGGGCATTTACATATATTTCTCCAAGTGTAGGAGGTGTTTGCATAGATTTTTTTTAAGTGTGAGGGTATTTTTGAAATTTCTGAAGATGTGAGGCACAAGCTAAATGGAGGCTTTTCTTGAAAATGTAATATACAAGCCAAAAATGAGTCTTTTCTTAAATCTAAAGTATAGATATAAGGTTGCAATGAGACCTCACCAGCATGAGATGACCGAGACAGCCTCAGCAACAGTGGCTGCATCAAGCGGTGGCCTAGGTGCAAGCAGTGAACCAGGCGGTCGACCATGCTTCACCGAAGGATGATCAGCCAGGGGCCGCCCCTGAAACTCGGCAACTGGTATCGAATTCAGAAACATAGGTGAATTTCCAAACTTCATCGGAGTGATAAGATCTGGGTGCATGTCCCGTTCATTGGCCTCACTGCCACCTTCTTCACTGTCCTCCCCCGTTACTGGTGCCAACACTGGGATCGGCTCAGCTGGCACCTTGATTTGCCCAATGGCACCATAATAATCATTTGCACGCGGCGGATTGAAACCATACAAGGCATATCGACGGAACAAACATCCTGTACCCACATACATCGGACCTTGCAGGCCATCGAGCGCACGCATATTGCCATCGAAGAACACGGTATTGTGATTCGCATAGCGGTCTGAAGGATCAATCCCTTCAAACCTCTGTGGAAACTGTATGTAGCAAATTCGATCCCCACCTCTGTCCAACATAAAACACATCCCCTCCCGAATCGCCATACAATTATTAATATAGTGATCGCAGTCAAAGTTAAGTATAAAAGGACCATTTGAGAGTATCGCTGATGCACGAACCAATGCATTCATTGCTCCTGCCTTTTTATTATGATCATACCCAGGGCGTTTCTCGCGAGACATGTAGACGAACATAGGGATTCTAGTGTCAATCCCGGTGATGTCTATGAATGGGTGGTCGCCGGGATTGCCATAGACAGGTTCGTGGCTGGGGGTTTTGATCATGACCTGAATGATTCCGGCATGGTCGCCTTTGGCGTGGTCAGGGGCGGATTGGTACCAGGTGCCAGGCCAGTGAGTGCCATCCGCCATCCAAGTTGCTGTTGCGAGTTTTATGGAGTCGATGGATTCGCCCTTTTCTTTGGCAAGCTTTTTCTGCTGTTTTTGCTCGCGTTTGTTGATCTCACTGCATCTCTTCTTGATTTTTTCTGGGAGGTTGTTGATTCGCACTTTGAATTCGTCGTATTCCCTCTTGATCCACCTGTCATAAGTCAAAATTAAGAACTATGATTTTAAGTCATTTCTATCTTGAAATGACGCAATGTTTATGTAGTTTTACATATGTTCTTTTGGATTTGGATCCTCTCCCCTATAAAGATGTTGCAGCATATTTGTTTCTCAAAGAAAATATGCTATGAGATCACTTTGTTAATCAGCCTTCTATTCAATGGGGGATTGTGGGGATTCACTGCAAATCTAACACTAGCAAATGTCCAGTTTTATTTTAATTCATTTCCACTGGCAAATCACATTTAACTAATAAATAATTGCTAATAATTGATCTTGATCGAAAAATGGTTTCTCTTGTGCATTTTGACGATAAAGAGAATCCAAATCTGCTTTAGTTTTTATTCAGAAAAATGTGAAGTCAAGTGTTTGGATAATACTGTCAGAAGAGTATGATAGAGTCACTACTTTTTATTTGTTTTTGCGTAACGGATAGCTGTTTTTATCATACTTGCATATAGTGATATAGTGATTGATGGTTGTGATTCATTTCAAATCTCTTACACTTTCTCATCAAAATAAATCAGTCACAGGGATATATATTAGACTGTTATGATCAAAAGTAGAAATCTGCAAGTTGTTTTTTAGTGAAATTGGCCAGAAACCTCAGACAAATATGCGAGGTTGTGTTTCCATTCCTCATTTGTGATAACCAATCGACAAAGACAAAGGAAGTTGGTGGCGTTACCTTCGGTCCTTGACAAAATCAGGCGTCTTCTTGTTCTTTGTTGGATCACCCTTTAGTGCAAAATAACTGTCAGGATTTCTGGGCTCAATATTATGCTTTCGACAGAACGGCACCCAGATCTCTGCAAACGATGAAGCCTCAGCCATCGCCTCAAAGGTAAGCATAGACCCCCCATCATCCGATATATACAATGCTAGCTTCTCAACAGGATACTCAGTCGCCAAAATTGAGAGCACAGTGTTCGCGGTAGTCAGTGGTGGCTCTTTCTCTGCATCAGCTGTGGAGATGAAGATGTCCATGCCAGGGAGATCAGATCGCCCATCGGGGTTGGAAGGCGAGGGGGACTCGAACTTCTCTTTGAGGGCGTCAAGGTCGGTGGCTCGGTTGATGGGGTTGAGTTTGGGGAGAATGTCAAGGAGCCAGGAGAAGGCGAACCAGAGCTCGCACACTAGGGACATGCCCCAGAGCCACATTGCATCCCAGTTTGGGTTGCAGATTCTCCATGTTAGGAAACAGCCCAGGACTACCAAGCGTATGAAAATCAGAATCCTGCGCATGTTCAGCAAAAGAATTAGGATCATTTTTTTCCCTTTTTTACTGTGATGAGGTCAACCCCTGGATAATTTTTCTTTGAGTTGGACCAAATTCAGATATTATATATATATCCTATGACCCCTCTGTTAAATAAATTATTGGACTTAATAAAGCAAATTGGAAAACATGTAACTGGGAAATGAGTCTTGGTTATTGTTCTAAGCATAGGAATAAGTGGCAGAGAGATTGTCGATTATACTCTTATTGGTAGACAGTTTATGACATCGCTCGTAATCGGCTAATTATCTTTGAAGTGATTCTGATTTTTCTTCCTTATACAAGAAAAATAAGAATCACTAAGGATGACCACATTTCATAATCGCCGTCTTATTTTTTAAAACTTTACTTTACTTTCAAAGGGGTTGAAAAAAGCTCACTAGGAGATGTATTTGCAAGTTGGCTTGATAGAGAGGGGGTGTGTTCTCAACAAATAGAATCATAGGGGGTATATTCACAACAATAAATAGAAGTACGGTAGGTCTCTTTGCTATTGGATGATGCAGGGTGTTTGCAATTAACTGTTAACCCTTAATAATTAAAATTGTTACATTACTCTATTATTTTCTTCTTCTGTTTCTACCTAGTCCGATCTTCTTGTATGTATTCCGTATCTAAGTTCAGGTACCTGTAAGGGCTAAGAATCCCCGGTGGCACCCGAACTTTTCTTGTCAGCGGCTTCCAGGGCTTATCCAAGAAGTCATCCATACTCATCCCTCCAACAACATCATCATCGTACCCTCCTCCGTCGGCCGGCCAGTAAGCATTCCCGATCCCATACGTCCCCTTATTTTTCTCGAACAAGAACCTCGTGTGATCGAAATCCCCCGTTTGGCTCCTCATCAGCATCGATTTGTTCGTCTTTATCACCGACATCCTCCGGTCGAGCTTCCCTCTTCCTCCTCCGCCGCTGCCGCCATCATCGCCTCCTCGATGCCCCGCACGCTGCTTGGGGCCTCCGACGAAGGGCTGGTTGTCCGGGGTCGGAGGCATGTGGACGGTGTAGTTGTAGTCATCATGGACCCCGGAGGAGGTGGAGGTGAGGTCAGGGCCGAGGTCGATGTCTTCGCGAGAGAGGCTTTGGATTCGGCCGCTTAGTGTTCGGCGGGCGAACTTGATCGGGGTTTTCTTCGGGGATGTCGACATTGTTTTCTTTCTATCTGGCTAGCTAATTGTACGTACAATTTTTGAGCTAGGTATTACAAAGTGTTTTTCTTCTTCTTCTTTTTTTTTCTTTTAACTTTTTGTTGCATGTTTCATGAGAATTGCTGATTCCATGGGATGCAAAGGAGTTAAGAATAGGATTGAATGGAGAAGCACGAATTGCGAACATGAGAGAAAATTTTCATATGGGTTGCAGTGAGGAAATGGCGGGAGGAGGGTAAGGCAACCGAGGTTTGCTTTGGTGCTCCAAAAATAGGTTTTTTTTCAAATTTTTAAATTGACAAAAATAACAAATCAACTAAAATAAGAAAGAGTAATTTAGTCTTTTAAAATTATCTTATAATTGCTTTCTATCCTAAAAGCAATCATTCTGTTGCTTCTTTCCTTTCTTATCCGCGTTCTCTCCCTCTCAAAAATTCTTTTCTGCCGTTGACATTTCTTGTTCGCTCTGCCTTGCATAGAAAAAATTAGTTTCTTTCTCCGCTCCTTGAGAGAAGTCTCTTCCTTAGCCACGGCGAGTTTGAACAAGATATAAAAACCGGTTATGCATGACGTGAAGACTGATTCGCATAGTCTATTATAAAACCAATGTGAAGATATAAAAACGTTTATGTATGATGTGAAGACTGATTTGCATGGATGTTAAGAAAGATATTTGTCTAATATAAATGTGCTATGCGAATCTTATCTATGCATAGTCCATACCTCCTTTCGATTTAGGAGGTGTTCCCTAGGACTCTACTCCTATTAGTGAATAGCAGCAGGCCAAGTCAGAGCCTTATCCTCTGCAGTAGCCTCAGTCCGATCAGAGCAAGAAGCGTCGCTATAAGAAGAAGAGAACTACATTTCTTTCTTTTTTTTCGTATAAGAAAAATAAGAGAAAGCAGAAGCGAATGCACATACTTCTTTAGTGGAAAGAGAAGGGAAGTCTTCTTCGGTTCTATCCTATGCTTTAAGAGAAGCAAGAAAGCATCACGGTTTTGTGGTCTGCTTGCTTATTCTATCCGGTTCACCACCCGACTTAAAATATGCATAAACGTTTTTTTTTCTAAATAAATGCATCATAGTCTATTATTACTTCTTACAACAAATACTTTATTCCATTATAATAACAATATAAATATTCTTCGTGAATGATTAAAACGGGAGTGACCTATAAGTAATTCTACGAATCCCCTACTTAAGCTTCTAGTTGAAAATTCCCGGTGGACATAATCCTACTGTGCATAAACAATGTTTTATATAATTAATTTTTTTTAAAAAGGAAAAAGATGGGGGTACCTTTCATGATGCTTCTCTTCACGAGAATTTTTGGAGGATCTCGTGAAGAATTTTTGCTTTAATGGAAAGCGCGAAGCTTATTAATCATATGGAAAGTGCGGAGCGTTACTAATCATAAATTATGTTTCTCTCATAGATTGTATTTCCTAAAATAACCCTTTTACCAAATTAAAATTATAGTTAATTATAATTTTGGGCGTGGAACACCTCCTAACCGTCAAATCTATCTATCTAGAGATGTGAGAGCTATTTTTAAGGAATTTATTTACAGATATGTCACCAGTGCTCCAACAAATCTTCATGGAGCACTGAAACTGTAGGCAAGATAGCCAGGATCCGGATCCTCTACAACTCAGGCTGTAGAGGAACCCTACAATGGTCCCCATATTCAATTCTTAACTAACTACACGCAGACACGTGGCTAATGTTCTTTAAAGAATAATGGCTGCAACTAGGGGGTTTTTAACAGGGAAAATACTATAGGCACACCCCTAACCACACCTTGGGGCACACCCCCTCTCTCAGCTACAGTGCACAGGGCCCACTTTAGATTTTTTTAAAAATCTAAAGTGGGCCCCGTGCACTGTAGCTGAGAGAGGGGGTGTGCCCCAAGGTGTGGTTGGGTATGTGCCTGTAGTGCCACTCTTTTAACAGGCAATGTTAACGGGGCTTGCTAGTAGCCCATTTGAGTTCCTTTTTTTTTTCTTTTTCTTTTTTCTAGGAAAGAAATCTTTTGGGACGTAGTTTTATTTTCTTTCTCATCCGAACTAATTGCTCCGCAAATATATTCATTGTAACAGAACACTCCCTTCTTTATAAAAACAAGATGCCATGCTAACACTAGTATAAAAATAGGACAGTCCAAACGGTTAGAACTGTTTGGAAAATACAGTCCCAAACGGTTACAACCGTTTGGGCTAAAAAAGAACCGTTTGGGCTAAAGCCGTTGGGAAAAGTCTACCCCAACGGTCGTCCAAACGGTTACAACCGTTTGGGCAAAATCCTTTAATGAAGAAATAAAGCACAACAAGACTAGGTTCCCTTGGATGCCATTGTTAATAAGAAATAAGTGCAAGAAACATCTATTCAAAACACTTTAATGGAGAGAAGGAAGCATCAGATAGAAATAGCATTAAAATACAACAGGATGTTAAAATACAAAATCGACCTTGTAACCTAGGAACCTTCAAATGCTAAAGAGGTCACATCAAAATATTGATAACATCTTCTTGAGAAGTGCTGACCACATCTTCTTGACTAGCAAAGTGTAAATTCGAACAACAATTGCATAATTATAACCAATTTGAATAATACAACAAATAACACAATTCTTAGTGAACCTAGTGGCCAATTAGTCCTGTATCTGAGGAAACATTATATAGAATCAAAGGCAAAGCAGAATGATCTATTTCAAGTAATGGTTCTTAAGCTACCAAAAAAAGGATCAAGAATCAACAAATGACTTTACATTCAAGCTTCCACTGTCATCATATAACTTAGGAATATTCAAATGCTAAAAGGGATTTGCTTTACATATTCTTGTGTAAATTCCAGCATCAATTGCATGATTGAAACCAATTTGAAGACCCAAATTATCATTTTTCATGGAATATATCCAATGCTAACCCCGAAATTTCAAAACCCTAACAAGAACGTCCAAGAACTTAAATCCTACTCAGGAATCACGACTACAACACCAAGAAAGGAACATAAATCCAATCGAAATCAAACCTGAGCCTCCCTCAACACTTCAACGCGCTTCCTAATTCAGGTGTCAGGGTCTCCAGCAGCACACCCAAACGTTTTCATGCCAATTTCAAAAGGTCGTCCTAAAGAAAAAATAAAAAATAAAATTGAAACGAAGATGATCATCAAAATCCCAACCAAGGAAGAAAAAAACCCTAATTTTGACTTCTGACCTCAAGAGCATTGGCGATACGTGCTCTCGCCTCTGCGCTCAAACCTGAGAAAATCAAATGTAATCAGAACATCTCTCGTATGTGCATTACACATTTAATAATATACCACACACTAAGGTAATTTCCCTTAAATAAAATAATGGAGGTGCGTGTGTGTGTATGTGTGTATACACACAAAATGAAGGGGAAAACTTCAACGAATAATCTTTCAGATTGCTTCACTCTCGTGAGCACTTCCATTCGTCGTCGTTCCTTACACCATGCTATCTTCTCTTTCCATCATCGTATGGTTCTCCTCTACCCTCCATTGCGAGTTCTTTGAAAGGTCACAATATATAGTTAGTTAAACCAAAAAGAACTTAAATTAATTTTTCTATTCATTCCCATGCATAAAAAATCACAATGGAGTTGAAATTTACAAGGATAAAAAAAAGAACTGCACCAAAAATTAATTGATCATAGACGGGATCGTCTCCTATGTTGGAAAATGCACGCAAGGTGGGGAGGGAAGGTGACATTTGAGTCAGGCTTCGTAACGCTTGCAACTAATTAAGGGAAGAGGGAGAGGGCAAGAGGCGTTGGTGTCAGGTAATTGACGCGTCAGATTGAAGAGGTGAAGACACGACGTTAGATGCACACGACGAGTTTAAAATATGAAGGGACGATGTCAGATTGAACCGCTGAAGCTCTTGGGTGTAGAGTTATTTTTTCTCTTGTTTATGTTGCTACTACTGAAGAAATGGCGAGAGAGTGCAGGAAACAGCAGAAGAATCAGCCAGGCAGACTGGCGGTCGACCGCGC